ATAGAGACGGGGTTTCACCATGTTGACCAGGATGGTCTCGATCTCTTGACCTCGTGATTCACCCGCCTCGGCCTCCCAAAGTGCTGGGATTACAGGCTTGAGCCACCGCGCCCGGCCTGTTTTTAATGTCTTAAGTTGTTGAGGCATTAGGTATAGAAGATAATTCAACCTGGAGAAAGAGGCATTTAACAAATAGCCTTTAAAACATGTTGACATCCATCAGAGAGAGGTTTTCCTTTACTACTAAAAAATAAGCATCCCTTATGGCACAAATGTGTATATTTATCACAGTAGCATTAGTTACTGTGAAAAAAAATAGCTACAACCTAACTATCCAATGAAACAATGATTAAGTAAATTATGTCAACCTGAAAAAATGAGGAGTTACTAGCAAAGTGAAGGTATGAGCACTGACTGATCAGTATAGATGTAGGTCATAATGCCAAGTGTTAGTAACATTTGCATATTGGCAGAGGCTAGGGGGTGCAGTGTGTATTTGTAGATGTGGAGGCATCTGGGGGCAGACAATTACTTTTTAGCAACTGGTGTGGAAGGTGTCAAATTCATTTTAACAACTGGTACGGCAATGCCAGTAGCTAACAGCATCAAGTTTCTCCTCTATCCCAGGCACTGCAGAGCATACCTCACAACAGCTCTGAGGTAGGCATTATTACTGTCCTTTTACAGATGACAAAAGACTTAGGAGGTTAAATGACTTTCCCAAGTTCATTCTGTTTGCAATGACAGTGCTGCAATTCAATCCTAAGCCTACTTGGCAACAAAGCTTGGCAACATTTTGCTATTCCACACTGCTTCCCAATATTCTACAGCTATATCATACAGCATTAAAGGAGAGGGTCAGGATAATAAACTGCAAATAAATTAAGATTATACTTGGCTGTACGGTGAACTTATTTCTTTCCTTTAAAATTTTCAAACGTCCTATATGATTATACTGCTTTTATAATGAAACACAGGTTGGTAAGAAAACTATCATGAGAAGAGATTTTATTTTTTTGAGAAAGGATATCGCTCTGTCACCCAGACTGGAGTGCAGTGATGTGATCATAGCTACTGCAGCCTCAACCTCCCAGGCTCAAGAGATGCTCCTACCTCAACTTCCCATGTAGCTGGGACCACAGGTGTGTGACACCTTGCCCAGCTACTTTTGTGAGGAGAGATTTTATAATAGTAAAGATTCTTAAATACTGGAAAGAGTTACTGAAGTAAAGTTACACATTTTAAATGCATTTTTCTCTTCCCCAGTAGGATGCTTTTCATCTGTCTAAAATGTAAAATGGTTCAACTACTGTTCTGATTGAATAAACAAAGTCACCTATTTTTTTTTCCCCCTGAGATGGAATCTTGCTCTGTTGCCCAGGCTGGAGTGCAGTGGTGCAATCTTGGCTCACTGCAACCTCTGTCTCCCGGGTTCGAGCAATTCTCCTGCCTCAGCCTCTTGAGCAGCTGGGATTACAGGCATGTGCCAACATGCCTGGCTATTTTTTTTTTTGTGTACTTTTAGTAGAGACAGGGTTTTACCATGTTGGCCAGGCTGGCCTCGAACTCCTGACCTTGTGATGTGCCCGTCTCAGCCTCCCAAAGTACTAGGATTACAGGTGTGAGCCACCATGCCCAACCCTAACTCAACTATTAAAGCTCTTTCTAGCACCAAGATTCTACAATATAGTCAATCCTATATCGAAAAAATTTTTTTAATTATTCATCTAAAAATTATAGAGAAGCCAAGGCATTCATTCATTTATTCAATTATTATTTACTGTCTACCCACAATATGTCAGGCATTTGGCTAGATTCTGGAGAACTCAAAGTTAGTCAAGAACTTTGACTTCATGGACTTTACACTGTAGTTCTAAGATGGCAATTCCTTCTTGGCCTAAAGGTATCTACTGCCTCTCCGGGGCCAACATCAAAGTACTGAAGGGTAGAGAGCTCTGGCTCCATGCCCAGGAGACACAGTCAAAGTTCATACCTCTTGGGGAAGAAAGGTTAGGCTAATCCATTTCAGAGCTTGAACGTGGGTTCACTCCTGCTTGAGCCAAGAACAACAGTCAAATAAAGAACCCTGAGAAAGTACCATGACTCCCGGGAGATACCCTGAACCTGGGGTAGTTTCTATACCATCTGCTGGGATGTCATTATTTCTTTAGGTCCCTAGGTGGAAATGAGATAGACATAAACGATTGAAAAGACACAATCACTCAGCAATCTCTAGGAGTTAGCTGTCTTGAATCTTACTGTTAAGGAAAGGAACGTACTTTTTAACCAAGTCATACCTTTGAGAAGACAACTCTAAAACTTTGGCAATGTCACAGCATACGTTATGCTTCCAGAACACCATGTTACCATCATCATCACCAGTGTGAACACTACAAAGCATTTTGGTAGGTCTGACCTCAGAGCTAAAAATAATCTGCTTAGGCCTCAAAATGCTATATAAATAATATTTGCTGGGAAAGTACAATGAAGATTTTCATTTCAGAAATATAAAAAACCATTCTGTGCTCATACTAAATAGAAAGACTTTTTAAACTCTATACTACCTTCCCACAAATAAATATCCATTTAAATGGACATAAACACACAGCCCTATAGATTCTTTCTTCATCTTTCTTTATTGTTTTTTCTGAGCCTCCCTCCCCACCCCCTTCCATCTTCCTTTATTGTTCTGCCCTCAGTCAGGTCGAACCAACCTCCTTGGAACCAGGTCCCTTTTCATATTTCTTTCAGTTGCTAATTAGATGTTAAGGCCAGGCATAGCGGCTCATACCTGTAATCCTAGCACTTTGGGAGGCTGAGGTGGGCAGACCCCTTGAGCCCAGTAGCTCAGTACTAACCTGGGCAACATGGTGAAACCTTGTCTATACAAAATACAAAAATTAGCCAGGCATGGAGGCACATGCCTGTAACCCCAGCCACTGGGGAGGCTGAGGTGGGAGGATGGCTTGAGCCTGGGAGGGAGAGGCTGCAATGACTGTGTTTGCACCACAGCTCTCCAGCCTGAGTGACAGAGCCAGACCCTGTCTCAAAAAAAAAAAAAAAAAAAAAAAAAAAAGTGCATGTTAAAAAGTGTTCTCAGGGCCAGGTGTTGTGGCTCATGCCTGTAATCCCAGCACTTTTGGAGGCGGAGGCAGGTGGATCACTCAAGCCCAGGAGCTTGGTACAAGCCTGAGCAACATTGGGAAACACCGTCCTTACAAAAAATTAGCTGGGTGTGGTAGCATGTGCCTGCAGCTCCAGCTACTTGGGAGGCTGAGGTGGGAGAATGGCTTGAGCCTGGGAGGCCGAGGTTGCAGTGAGCCACTGTACTCCAGCCTGGGTGACAGAATGAGACCTTGTCTCAAAAAACAACAAAAAAAATTGTGCTGAGTGGACAGTCTGGTGAAAGCTTACGATGGCTACATCTTTTAAATCAACTGTTACACGCCACCATGTCTAGAAAAGTGAGAATCTACATTCTTAATATGTTACTTAGTCAAATGCCCCAATGTGTGTTGTTTATCTCACCTTCGATATAGCTTGGACTGTCCAAAAGTCATAATTACCAGTGGTACATGGAAGGTAGTCAAGACTAGAATGACCTGGAGAGAGAAAAAAGCATTCTGTAAATAAAAAAGATATTCCAATTAAGTGCTGATACGTGTTCAAAATTAGGCCAACACCTAAAAGACTTTTGATATCCCTACTTTGTAGTATTCCCCAAAACCTAGAAGGATCTAGTTACTAGGGCTGGGAATGACGAAAAAGTCCTCAGCTTATTTTGTTGGTATGCTCCCCATCGCCTACAGTGAAGCAATGAGGCTGACTACTCAAATACACATTCAGATAAAAGAAGGCTTTAACTATTTTGTATCCATATTATTGTAAGATATTCTCAGGCAAGAACCCTCTCCCTTTTCTCCTTACAGAGGCTAGAATGGCATGAATGTTCTCACAGAGGTCACTGTGTCTGTCTTTTTCTTCACCTTGCTGTTAGTTCTTCATGAAATTAATTTTTTCAGTACTTTATCTACCAAAAACTGCATGAGGAAATGATTCTGGATGTATTACTACAAGAGTCTAGGGAGTCTCAGAAAGCCATATGAGAAATCTTGGAGATGTCAGGGCACGGTGGTGCACACCTGTGATCCCATCACTTTGGGAGGACAAGGTGGACGGATCACCTGAGGTCAGGAGTTTGAGGCCAGTCTGGCCAACATGGTGAAACCTCATCTCTACTAAAAATACAAAAAATTAGCCAGGCATGGTGGCGGGTGCCTGTAATCCCAGCTACTTGGGAGGCCAAGGCAGGAGAATCGCTTGAACCCGGGAGGTGGAGGTTGCAGTGAGATCGTGCCATTGCGTTCCAGTCTGGGCAACAAGAGCAAAACTCCATCTCAAAAAAAAAAGAGAAGACATTCCCAATTCTAAAGCAAAACCAACACAACTACAACTTACTGAAAGTCTGTCTTGCAAACATGCATTTTCTGTGATTTAAGCTAAAGACAGTTTCAGGAAGAAATGATATTAGGTGCTTAAACCTCCCAAATCTATATCATCTTCTTATTAGGCTGAAATAATAGACTCAAAATATGACTTACCCCAGTGCTATCTCCAACCCAGGACAAGGATACTGAGCCTCTGAGATCATCAAACACATGCTATAAGGGGGGAAAAATTAATTTAGAAATCATATCTATTCTCCTTCAATCTTTGGCTTCTTTAAACATTTGAACTTTATTCAGAGTAACTAAGTTCATAATTATAAAGGGGATATGGATTCCCAGTACAAAATTTGGGAGAGATGAAATTTAACTACTTAATGTGAATCACAAATAACTTGGAAATTTAAATTCTCTCTCACACAAAGTAAGCCAAGCAGATGAGTTTTCTTTACTGCACCAGATGGGGAGATGGGATAATCTAATTGCTTTCTCCAACAGAACTAAATATAAAGTTATGGCAAAGTATTTTTAGGATGCTTTAAAACAAGAGATCACGGCCCACACTGACAGGCACAATTGTAGCCAAATCAGCATAATTTAAATTGTTCTGGGCATCCTTTACAGTATAGTTGAATAGTTTGTAGCTGGATTCCTTCTACTTCTAGGCTAGCTCACTCAGAATGACAAGGAGCAGAAGAAGCAAATGCCTTTGTTTTACCTTTTAAATTTAATAACAACAGTAATAATGACAATAATAAAACAGCCTTACTAGAGTTGCAGTGAGAGTAACGAGGTAAAAAAAGAAAAGCTGGTCTATTATATCCAAAATATAGTAAGCATGTTAAAATATAGTTATAATAACCATTGTAGGTGGTTTTGGGTTTTGTTTTTCAACTACTTCCTTTTTCTACTTACACAATTACATATATCCATTAAAGAAGATGTAGACAATTATAACAAGATATAACAGATAAAATATGAGTCATTCATAATCCTACTACATAAATATATTCAGGTTAATATTATGTGTACTAATACAACCTCCTGTTCTCTATCATTTTTGTAACTGATAAAAAAATAAAAATTCCAGAGGCAATACTGCACTTGGAAAATTCAAACTACACAGAAATTATATACCATATAGTCTATGTAGCAAAAGTGAAGATACTTCTCTTTTCCAGGCCACATGTTCACCACCTAAGCCCCATTTCTTAGACAGTTTAATAGTTCAGTACATATTTCTACTAAATGTTGATGATTATGTTTTTTTCTTAAGACTTATAATCTTATCAAGATTTAAAAATCTTAAATATGCTTTGCTCTCCCAGATATGAGAAGCTCCTTAGAAGCTGGGAAATGTAACTTTATACTTCTGGTACTTCCTGTGCCTACCACGGGGATACTTTGCATACTCAATAAGCATTTGTTGAAAATGATTACACATCCTTCCCAAACCGCAAACTCAACCTCAAAATAGAACATGTCTATAAATGGTTGGGATGCCAGCTACTTGGTCACTCAAGCCACCAATCCCAACATAGGAATCTAAAGAAATAGAACTCAAAACATGAACTGTTTTGCTTATCTTTAAATTTTCTCTTATAGTCCTCCTGAATGGGCCTCTGAATTCACCTATGTGATTTCCCCTCTGGACCGTAAGTACCTTTGATGTCAAAAGAATCTCTTATACAATTTCTGTAAGTTAGTTCAATCAAGGCTTCATGCAGGTCTTGCTCTTGAAATAATGGTTAACTCTCAAATGCTCAGCAGAGCTTCTCACAGCCTCTGGAGGACAGAAGGGCTATTCAGACATACAGGCTTGACAGGCATCTGAGAAAAAGTTGGACTGCTACAGCTTCTGAAATTGGAAGCTTAAACACTGACACTGCAGTGTGTCTTATAAGACATTTCACACAGAGCAAGACCACAAGTTCTCTTGAGTGAGGACAGAGTGTCTGAAATGACATCAATGAGATCTTCAGGAAAAACAGGAACGTTTAGAGCTACCACAAGACCAGGCAGATTATGTAAGGCTAACAGTCATCTCAACATAGGTTATCTTTCCAAGGAAGGTCCTCATCATAACTAAGAGAAAAGTTATGTCCATCAACTGTGGCAGTGGACTTTATGGTTTTATTCATCAGGCTGTAAGATATCACTCTTGAGCCAATCAAGACTGAAACTTTTACTTTTCAGGCAATGCTCTACGCAGCTGACCCAGTCAATGCAGACTGGCATTACCCACGTTTTCCTATTGCTCAACCACAGAATGAGGAGGATTATCACGTGTCACTGGCAACTCTCAGCTTCACTGAAACAACTGAAATGGTAATGGACCTCATTCATCATCCAAAGAAATGTTGGCCAGATTTACTAGCTAAAACTGTGGTTTTCTAATACCCTTAAGTTTTCCTCCCACCGCTCCAATTAACCAATGAAGATTTGCTTTTGAAAATGTGCACACTCATTGAAAAACTCATCTACCTATAGCAAATACAACTAATTTTTAAATATTTCAGTCTCTAACATTTTTATACTGGGTGAAAGTTAAAAAAGAAAAATGAAATGAGATGTTACAGCAGGTTCAAAGGTTAAGCAGAAACAAAATGTCATATGGAAAAAAGATAAATCCAGAAGAGCTAGGGACCAAGAGTACAGATTCAATCCTACCCCCTCAATGGGAAAAAGAATACGGATGTCCAGGAAAGGGCGGACGACCTGGTCATGAGTAGGAGACAGAATTCACAAGTCAGCACAAAGGCATCAATACTAATCCAGAGTCATTTTTAATATTCAAGACAACATACATGTCATTCTACAACTGCAGTGACAGATCTTTCAAAAATATGTATCATAGCACTTTTAAGCATAGCCACAAGAATATTGCTTATCCTCCCCACTAGACCTGAGGCCCATCTGGTAAAGGAATCAAGCCTATACATTTCAGCTAACACACAGCACAGTGCATAGTGGGCATGCAATAAATATTGCAATAAATATTTCTTGAAGAACTGCTTATGAAGTTCTGAAAAAGAGGATGACGAAGTAAAAAGATAAGGCCAGACCCGCTTAATTTCCCCATGACAGACAAGAGAATTAAATGTAAAAGTTTATTTCATTTTTTTTCTTCTTTTTGAGATAAAGTCCTGCTCAGGTGCACAGGCTGGAGTGCAGTGGTGCAATACTGGCTCACTGCAACCTCTGCCTCCCAGGCTCAAGCCATTCTTCTGCCTTAGCCTCCTGAGTAGCTGGGATTACAGGTGCCCGCCACCACGCCCAGCTAATTTTTATATTTTTAGTAGAGACAAGGTTACATGATGTTGGCCAAGATGGTCTCAAACTCTTAACCTCAACTCATCTGCCTGCCTCTGCCTCCCAAAGCGTTGAGATTACAGGCGTGAGCCAATGCGCCCAGCAAAAGTTCATTTCTGAGTGGACTTCTGCTTCTGGTCAAGATGGGGTGACAGGGATCACATTTATCTTCCTACCAGAAACAACTAAAACAAAAAAACAACAACAGAATATATGAAATGACTGTTTCCAAGATACTGGATATCAGGCACAAAGGACAAAATTCCTGAAAGACAGGAACTGAACAAGGAGGGACCCGACCCTACAGTTTCCCTGGCCTACTGCCTGGAGAGAATTTCAGGCACAGTGCAGGGAAGGGGCACACAGGCAGAGCCCAGAGTTCTCCCTAAACTGAAGAGAGGAAGCTGGTAGTCTGGGGAGGCCACAGAGGTCAGAGTTCACAGGGCAAAAGATCAGAGAAGAAACACTTACACAGAAAAAAAAAATGCTGGAGACCTGAGGAGGTGGCCTCCCCAGTCACCCCGCCAAGTCTTCAGCTGAAAATGATCATGTGAGGATACTACCTGAGGCCAGGGAAATACTTATCTGAAGGGACGGCAGAGAACAATATTCAGACCTCACACAGGACCAGGAATAATTCCTATTCCTGGAAACCACAATAGAAAACCTTGTATTTCAAGAAAGTTGGGTACAGTACTCAGAAACACTTATGCCTCTGTGGCAAAGAAAAATAACCCCAGACTAAATGTTGTGCTGGTCCTGCCGAAACAAGCTTAAAAGCAAGACCTAAAAGGATCAAACTGTTTCCAAGTAACCAATGTTCCAGAACAAAGTTCAATGATATTTAGAAGAATACAAAAATTGTACCCGGCCGGGCGCGGTGGCTCAAGCCTGTAATCCCAGCACTTTGGGAGGCTGAGGCGGGTGGATCACGAGGTCAAGAGATCGAGACCATCCTGGTCAACACAGTGAAACCCCGTCTCTACTA